TGAGATAAGGGTCTTGCTTCATTTTTCTGCAGGTAGATATCCATTTTCCCCAGCACCACTTGTTGAAGGGGGCATCTACTTCCCATTGGATATTTTTTGGGCCCTTATCAAAGATCAGTTGTCTGTATGCTGATGATTTTATTTCTGGGTTTTCATCATCTCTCTTTTCTTAATGTGGCTACCGGAAAAATCCTCAACGACATGTGTGGCTTGCTGGTATTTCCACTAGACATCACTGCTCTATTTTAAAAAAACAACAACATGCATTAATAAGTATTCATGTGAAGAAACCCAAATGAATCTAAAGAAATTGTGATGCTTCACATTGTATAGGCTTGTAAGCAGCAGCCTTGGTGGCGTAGTGAGTTAAACATCAGGCTGCTATCAAGATGGTCAGTGGTTCAACTCCACCGGCGGCTGCAAGGGAGAAAATGAGGCTATTTGCTCCATAAAAATGTACGTGAAACTGGAGGGAGCAGTTTTCCCGGCCCAACAGGAGCCAGTAGAGTCAGAACAGATTCGGCTGCAGTGAGGTTTTTTTAAAAAAATCATTTTATGAGGCTCTTACAGCTCTTGTAACATTCCATGCATCCATTGTGTCAAGCACATTTGTACACATGCTGCCATCATCAGTTCCAAAACATTTTCTACTTGAGCCCTTGGTATCAGCTCTTCTTTTTTCCCCTCTTTTTTTTTTTTTAACATTCACATTCTATTCTGTGACTCTAATCTTCACAGGTATTCAGTATTCTATAGCAGAGCACCTGTGTACAGGTGCTCCCTTCTAGAGCCCTTATTTTGAATCGTCTCTTGCCCATTGTCAAGCAGGGCGTGTGTTCCTGGGAGAACGCTGCCTTTGCGCTTGGCTGGCGTTCCCGCTGCTGCAGCGCCGCGCTGGGCTGCACGTGTGTCTGTCCGTCCTGGAGGTCTTGCTCCTTTGTCGTCAGGAGGTAGGCGTTGCTGTAGGTCCTTCCAGACGTCCTCCCCGCCTTGCAGGCCGTTTGCTCTTTCCTCTTGGATACCCACAGAAGTCCCGACTTCCGTTCCTTTTGCTTATTTACCTCTCTACTTATTTCTAAATCATTTCATCGGGGGCTCTTGTAACATTCC